TGGTCCACTGGTTACCTGGTTAACTCCTCACCTGGCTGAGTCTGGTGAACTAGTTACCTGGTTAACTCCTCACCTGGCGGAGTCTGGTGAACTAGTTACCTGGTTAAGGTGAACACTGGGGTCTCTTCACTTCGTCACGTGCAGCAGCGACACTTTGTAGAACCATCGTTTAATCCACATGAAGAGAAGAGAAGCTCGAGCTGCGGAATCGAACGTGTGACTTCACACTTTGTGTCCCGTACACCGGAATTTCCCTCTGACGTCACATCGCGACAAAGCAGAGCGCACACGAAGAGGTCTCACTCCGAGGATAATAATAATGAAGATGCAGTCGTGACTGCGGAAGCCACGAAGGAGAGAATGAAGAAGAAACGTTTTAAAAATGAAACTGAAGAACGAAATGTGTTTCATAGACTGTGACCTTTGACCCCGGTGTCTGTGTCCACAGGTCAGAGGTCAAACTGACTCATTCAGAGAGCTCAGCTTCTTCACGTGTGGAGTGACTCCTCTTCTCTCTTATAAACGATCTATGTAGAGGGAGGTGATTGTCCTTGTGCCCCCTGCTGGTCAAACGGAGAAACACCACAGGTACAACAATCATTCTTAAAAAAGTGTAAAATATTTCAGCACCATTAAAAACTTTAAGATTTAAAGTTTGATGACGTGTTTAAATCTAAGTTCTTTTCCTCTGTTCTCAAACTTTTTACATTTATAACTGAAAATGAAAAATCCATCGTCACAGAAACACAAATGAAAGTTTTTCTTCTTGTGTTGATCAAATTTAAATGTTGACCTGAAGAAACCTGAACATTTCACAGGATCAGTGAGCAGCTTGACCTGCTGGTGGCGCTAGAGGGAAGTTATAGACATGTTATTGATCCTGTGAGAAACATTAAAGCTTCCATCAGCTCTTACTTTCAAATCATTTTCAATCTTATGTTAATTACTTTAAAAGTTTCTGCTTGAAAAAAAGAAAAATATTCATAAAAACTCACAAACCACGTCATTAATTCTTAGATGATCTTTATTTTATTGTAATTAAACAGATATGAATCGTTATTTAAACATATATATATGTTTCTATATATTTAGCTTTAGTTATTACAACATTAATAATAACCTGAACGTCACATCTAAGAGCATCTGTGAAATAATTAGTGCAATTTACAGTTACAACTTTACATTGGAAACAAAAAAAACTGCAAAAATATACATATCATCTGTTCAATTAAACCTCAGGTAAAAACTAAACCGAGTTACAGCAGAAATCATGAGGCACGTTAGCTCAGCACGAAGCACAGCACACGAACACACGTCAGAGCACTGAGGGTGTCAATGAGGCACTACTGCTAACACACCACCACCAGGGGGCGCAACATCAGCACGACAGTCAGACGCTACGAGGCACAACGGACCGTGAGAAGCAGAGAAATCACCCTAAAGCCCATTTTTAACATTCCACCAAATGTGAGCGGAA